TGATCATAAATGTCACATTATTATTTCGGTTTAGTGTAAAGATGGATTTTTGCTCCTGTGGCTTTAAACTCTTCTTATGAGCAGAGAATCACAAACACTTTACAAACAGCAAAACATTTGACTAATTTGTTAGTGGGAGTCTACACTATGAGACCATTATAATGATATGTATACCCTCATGGTTGAATGCACGTATTGGAAGTCGCTTTTGATAAAATCGGCAGCTAAATGATATGTAATGTAAAAATCTGAAGAATCATGTATTATACCTCCTCACTATGCTTGCACAATGTAAGATCATTATATAGACATGTTTTCAGTCTTTGTTACATTGCTACTGATGAAAATTATACTGCAATAATGATTGCTATTGTTGTATTGCTCAGTTCTACGCCCAAAGCACTTTTTCTTTTTACTTTTTGCACAACCCACTCTTACACTCAGAAGAGATTGTTTATAGTCAGGCAAGTCAAGAGTCAGGCTGTCTCAAGTGGTGCTGAGCCTTCAGTGAGGGAACTATTGCAGTGCTTTGATTAGGACCTCTTTCCATACTAATCCTCTCCTCCAAAATGTACCAAAATATCCCCCAAAACCCTGCACATAATTAATAGAATAGAATAAAAGTCTTTCTGTGTGGAGTATATCATGCCCTGCGATACAATGGTAAGCTGCACAGGGTGTACGCCAAAGGTCAGCTGGGATTAGCTAATATGATATCATATAATATAATATCATATAATATATTATATAATATGATAGGCCTGTAAATGCTCAACCAAACATTACTTTCAACATATAAACCACAGGATTCTTCACATACTGTATTAAAAGTATTTGAGATAAAATTTTCATGAGATAAAAATATGCATTGGGTTTATTCCTCAATTCTGTGTCACATACTTAAATAACTTTGATTTAACTGTTGTTAAGCAGTAGCTCATGTTTGTGTTTTGAAATTTGTGTTAAAGCTATTGTTAATTTATGTTTGTGTCTAATGTTGAGAGCATAGATGGCAACATCATGCACCAATGCCACCCTGGCTACATCCCTTAAGTAGACTCTACAGAGTTCAAGAGCTACAATAAAATGTTTTATTGTTTTCTTATTGACCTACGCTTTAAGACTTTAGATTAAAGCAGGCTTCGTATATTGTGTATATATTGTTTATTAAGTGCTTTGACAGCAATCCAGTACAGACACGTGGATACTATTGGTTTCTGTGTTGTGTCATCACCTGAGATCAGTCACAGGCCATTTCCTACAGATGCAGTTAGTTGACTATCTGGTATTTGCAGTGATCTTAGGCATAGTCAGTCACTCCTGGTTATTAGTAGGACGTAGAGAGAAGTGGCACAACAACAGCTGAGTGACAAATCACTGGATGGGAAAACAAATGTCTGCAGGTTTGTAGGACTGTAGATGTAGATAGGTACTTCCTCTACTCTGGAAAGACCTATTGATTCCCATTCTGTGGAGTACAATAATATAAGTTCTGAGCCACATGTTATGCTACAATTTCCTGTCTGTGTGAGTGTGTGTGTGTGTTGTTTGTTTTTCCAGCCCCAGTCTTTATTTCGTTTTTTCTCTCTGCCTTTGTATCACTCACATTTTGTTGTTAGCCTGTGGCCAGGTGTATAATGCATCTGTCTCATGCTTCACAAGCACATTGTGTGCATCTGCTGTGCATGTGTGTGAGTGCATGTGTGTGTGTGTGTTGCTGCATGTGTGTCTTTTGACTGATTGATTCATCCATTTCTGTCACATACTTTATAACCCTGGGATATTGATTGGTGTAATATATATATGTGTGTGTCTGTGTGTGACATACTCTCGCTCCTGCTGAAAGTGTTTGAGCAACAATAAAGGAATGCTGAGTGAAGGAGTTTGGCGTTATTGGCGGATAACTAACGAAAGTCCACAGTTATCCATGAATATCAATTTTCCAGTGGCTTGACAGATATAATATAGTACAATAGAAATGCAACACAACAGATACAGGATAATAAATATGGTACTTACTTTTAAGATCATGTTTTTGTCAGAGACATGTTGAAGGGGGAGTATTATGGCCACTTAAAGGGAAAAAAGTATGAGATTTCGAGAATCATGACGTAAGAAAGAAGAATTGGTAAATTAACAAGAATTCTGTCATAACATTATGAGAAAACAGGATACATTTACGAGAATTAAGTTGTAATATTGCGAGGAAAATATTTACAAATGCAATAAGTTTGTAATATTACAGCTCATTGTTTAAAAAGAAAAACTTTTTTTAGAAAATAAGCAGCAGGAGGAACTTGACTCCCTCTGGATACAAAATCTTGAGCCAATCTCACTGTTTCTTCCCTTTGAATATCACACAACCTGATACTTTAGTAATTTTATTCTTGTAAATTTACGACTTGTATCGCAATATTATGACTTTATTCTCAAAATCTCTGATGTTTTTTTCCCCCTGCATGTGTCCCTGATAATCCATCATGCATAGAAAAGAGGTTGTGAGGATAATGTGGATAATCATATGTAGCTATACTGTGCAGAACATGTTTTGTAATATAACCTCCCTGAGTGGTTCAGTGGGAATGTGTGAGATGTTTCCTGCAGGTGAGCCTCAACTGTAAAATGGTCCATAGGTGTGAGTGTGAACTCATTGGTCTTTCTATATATCGCCTGGTGAGGTGATAGATTGACAACCTGTGAAGGTATACCCCGTCTCTGGCCCAGTGCATGCTGGGACAGGCTTCAGCCTCTCATGACCCTGAACAAGATAAGTGGGTAAAATAAATACAGTCCATAACAGATAAACTACTAATATATGACTAAAGCATCAGCAAACAATTACCAAGTCAAATCAGTGGTGTGTTTTCAAGCTCATATGTTTGTTCGAAGTTTTTATGTGTGTATTTTGCTCTTTGTTCACTTTTTCTTATTTCAAATTTGAGAAGCCCTGCTTATTAACCTCTCTGCATATGACAAGCATACGATTGATTTTCACCTTATCGATCACAACGTACCCTTCTGTACATATAGGCTGATGGATAACTGTGTTGTTGCCATACTATGCATTGCATAACCTGAGAAGATTGCTAGGAATTAACCCTTTAGTGCCAGTGGACACTGAGAAGTGAAAAACAAGTCAGTGCCAAAGTTAGGTTGAAATCAAGGGGTGCTGCCAAAACAAAAAGAATACAAATATCTTAGGATGAAAAAGTGGAGCCAAATACATATAGAAGACTCAGACGAGGATGTAAAGAGAGTTTGTGGTGATAAGAGCGCTACGTCCTACCTCTGCCTGCTGCCCCCCCCTCACCTGAATCCTCAGGAGAAGTAGTTGCTGAATCACCCGCTGCGTTGCTCATGTGCGTAAGGAAACCTCTTGAGAAAGTCTGGAGTTTCTCCGGAGGTCTGAAAGCAGCATTACACCACTGTCAACATGCTACACCACACAACTGTCTGTGTGCTGTGTGAGTGTATGCTTATGGGAAAAGGGTTGTTCTCCAAATTGTTTTCGTCTCATGCTGAAAAACACCTGAGC